TCTGTTGCTATGACAGCAAGTCCCGTATGAGCTTCGGGGAACCGAACGATCCAGGATCACGAGAAATCGTTAACAATCATATCCAGCTAACTTACTTGGCGAGGTACGAAGAACGGGCCCCAGACTGAACGAGTTAACGAAGGTTTAAAAAAAAAAAGGGTCAAACCCATTACTAGAAAAACTTAACTAATAAAGTGTCTGTTGGGCATTGATCAAGCAAAATTGAAAAAAATAGCTTTTTTTTTTTTTTTGGCCATCATATTACAACACTTTTTGCCAAATGCATAAATAAAAACAGCCTTATATAAGTCTCTTAATTCAGGTAATATAGGACTTTCATAGAATTCCTAATGTACTCAGCACTTGATGACATCAGGAAGGAAAACTGCTGTCTCAAGAGAGCACACAACATCCTACAGGACGGCACACAACATCCTGCAGGACGGCACACAACATCCTGCAGGACGGCACACAACATCCTGCAGGACGGCACACACCCAGGACACCGGGCGTTTAAGCTGCTTCCGTCTGGCAGGAGATTCAGACTGCTGAGGTTGCACACAGACTCAAGGACAGCTTTTACAACAGGGCAATAGCCCTAATCAATGCTAACAGCTGACCTCCCTGGACTTTTTTTCTTTTCTTTAATTTTTTTTTTAATGATAACAATGTGCAATAAACATACACTCATTCTTTTTATCCATTGAGTTACTGTGTTGTGCTGATGCAGGACAGTTTCCAATCTTGTTGTACTATTGTACTAGGTATGACTGTGCAATGACAATAAAGTTATTTTATTTTGTCTTATCTACCAAAGTGCACCAAAATACACTCTTGAAGGCACAGTACTTGTACAAACCAGACTAACTGAAGTTATCCTCAGAGGGTATGTTTGTTTATTTTGGGCAAGATAATCTAATGATGATGTAGGAAGTTTAGCCTATGATTTCTGCCTATATCAGTGATTTATGTATTCAATGATCACGTCAGGCTCAGGTCACGTCTCTCTAGAAATGTCTTGTTTTGACTTCATCTTTCCTGCTGTTTTCATCTGCAACTCAGAGATACCTCTATAGCATGATGCTGTCTTTTAGTTCAATGAGAAACTGTAAAGAGTGTTATTAAAAAGGAATGACTCTGAATACCTTTTCAATCCACTGCAAATGTAGTTGTGCAGCAACAAAGGCAGAAAAGTGTGATCAGTCAATAACATGATCAATATAAGGTTACAATTCTTAAAACTGTCAGTTTTGCAAATGTCTGAGAAAGGAAATGCACTTGCTGAGTCTTCAAAGAGAGACTTTGCAACCCATTACATGCACAATATCTTTCAAGTTGTGGTCCAAGTTATGCATAAAAAATGTACTTTACTGTGGAAACCACTGGATGCCTGTTGGTAGACATAAAATACCACTTAAATTCAGGTAAAGCTACCCATTTCAACTTGCAGCCTAAAATACAGGTGCTGGTCATAAAATTTGAATATCATCAAAAAGTTAGTTTATTTGACCAATTCCATTCAAAAAGTGAAAGTTGTATAATGTGTACATTCAGTCCACACAGACTGATATGTTTCAAGTATTTATTTCTTTCAACTTTGATGATTATAACTGACAACTAATGAAAACCACAAACTGCAAATTCAGTATCTCAGAAAATTAGAATATTATTTAAGACCAATACATCCTGGCCAACTGTCAAGTATGAACATGAAAAGCATGAGCATGTACAGCACTCAGTAGGGCTCCTTTTGCCTTAATTACTGCAGCAATGCAGCGTGGCATGGATCTGATCAGTCTGTGGCGCTGCTCAGTTGTCATGTGAGCCCAGGTTGCCCACGCCTTGCATACGTCTGTGCGTAGTGGTTCTTGAAGCACTGACCCCAGCTGCTGCCCACTCTTTGTGAATCTCCCCCACATTTTTGAATGGGTTTTTTTCACAATCCTCTCCAGGGTGCTGTTATCCCTATTGCTTGCACACTTTTTTCTACCAAATCTTTTCTTTCCCTTCACGTCTCTGTTAATGTGCTTGGACACAGAGCTCTGTGAACAGCCAGCCAATTTTGCAACGACCTTTTGTGTCTTGCCATCTGTGTGCAAGGTGTCAATTGCTGTCTTTTGGACTAGTCAGGACAGCAGTCTTCCCCATGATTGTGTAGGCTATAGAACTAGAATGAGAGACAATTTAAAGGCCTTTGCAAGTGTTTTGAGTTAATTAGCTGATTCAATATTGAACCTTTTCACAATATTCAAATTTTCTGAGATACTGAATTTGCGGTTTTCATTAGTTGTCAGTTATAATCATCAAAATACAAAGAAATAAACACTTGAAATATGTCAGCCTGTGCGGACCGAATGTACACGTTATACAACTTTCACTTTTTGAACAGAATTGGTGAAATAAATCAACTTTTTGATGATATTCTAATTTTATGACCAGCCCCTGTAGAAAGCTGGTGTTTCAAAATCAGCATTTTTCCTAAAAGACAAACATGCAAAATTTAAATATGAAAATAATACTGACGTCATTGCAGATGACTTGATTTGTAAATGTAACATTTTGGGAAACAGACAATTCCACCATGCAAGACAAAGGAAAAATCTTAGCTGCGCTGTTTCAACGCCAAATCCTGCATTTTATTTTGTAATAAGTAAAAAAAAAGATTCACAGTATCTCTCCCAGAACACTTAACTGCAAGTTTTTTAATTTTAAGAAAGCATTTCTGCAATAGAAATCAAACACACTGATTCCAAACGTTTCATGTATTTGCACAAAAGAAACATGAGTCACAACAAACAGATCACAATACTTTCCAAACTTTAAATACATTTAGAGATCATTGTTTAAATAAATTCTCCAAAAAATATCTCTTGTTCATGTCACATATTTACACTGATCTTAGCTTCTAGTGATTGTATATCCATGTTACTAATTCAGGACTTTATTATTCTTGCTTCCATGAAAACTTTTCCCCATTAACATGTGAAAGATTGACCTCATGCTTAAATAAGCAGCCTCACGGCTCTTTTTAAATTAGGCAATTTCAATTTTACATATTGGTGTCAATACGTAACAAAGAAAACTGGATGCTGTCACAGTAACAGATTATGACTTTGTAGGTCTCTTGTGAGTTTTATCACAAAGACAGCATTTGTCTTATAAATCCTGCTTCTAATTTACACTGAGACGCTGGTCTGTGCATATTTACTTTTCCCGATGTAGAACAGAGATCATCCTTTCTCAGTGCTCGTGTGCAATGAGTGGGGCAGGATAGTTTTGTATTTGCTGAATAAAATACAGACAACACAAAGACATGACAACAGCAGAGAACTCAACTTGAAAAGGTGGTTACACTGCCAATTCTGACAAGCCATCAAATATCTTAATGTAACCTTGTTCTACCAGACACACGATGTCTGAATCTAGCCATGATTAATAGTTATGTAATTGTGACTTATGCTGGAATGACAGGATGTTGTCACTAGAACAGATTGATTAAACCAGTAATGCTATGAATGTCACATTTGAAACATGCTCAATAACTACATATGGCACAGAAACTGAGAGCCCACCTTGTAAGTGACAGAGTTTCAAGCGTTAACCTCGGTTGCAAAAGTCTATACTGGGTATATTGTTGTGTCATAATAAAGTCAATATGTCTGCATAGTCTATTGTTGTCCATGACAAAAAAGCAATGCTGCACTAAATGTAATAAAAACATATTCTTGCTGCTTTTGTCACAGCATCCAGTAGAAGCTTGAAACCTTTCAATTTATTTTAAAATGAACCTCAATCTGGTTGGACAAGCAAACAAAAAACTAGCTGGTATGAAAGTTTGTTTAATTGTTTGGAATAATTTACAACTTGTTTTCATGTTTGTATAGTAGTATTCTACAGGTGGCTACTGACACGATGCTGTTAGCTATAACACAGAATCCATATTTCCTGCCCACCTAAAGCTCCATATCTTTTCTTACTCCTTTCAAAGCAGAAGGACACACCTTTCATCAATGTGAGGAGACAGCTGAGACAGGCCTGTTGTAAGGAGAGATTCAGAAATTCAGGCTCAAAATTGTGCAGTAAAACAAATCAGGGAGCGCACTGGAGAATTTGTTGTTTGCTTTTTTAACAATTATAATTAGCATTCATAGCATTTTTGAAATCATTATTATAATTTTGAAATCATAATCATGATCATTGAAGCACTTTGTTTTAAACAAGGTTTAATGAGAAACAAAATGACAATCAATACACTTTGAGTATACCCATGGAGAATAGCATCATGCACATTTACAAAAAGAAAGAGTAAAAATCCTAAGTGCAGCAAGAATGTTTTCTGCAGTCAAACGAGGTTTCTCTTTTCTACAAAACCACAAAAAACAAACAAACTTGAGGTGTATCCATTTCCATTCTTGGGCAACTTTTCTTATTGTAAAAAGTTTGAATAAAAGTGGGGAAAATGTTTTAATGCACTGAGAACTAGGTGAAGAAAAAGCCCTGTGAACAAGTTCACAATTGGTTTCTGTACCTTTCCTGTCAGATGAGGATGATTGCATAGTCTCTTAAGAGATTTGTCATCTCTCCTATTCTTGTGTCATTGCTTCACACAGTGTCAAACTTGTGTTTTAAATAGTCTTTCATAACCTTTGCAAGTGGTAGATCCTCCAAGAATCTCAAGCTTTGAAGGCCAATACAGTGACGGATTTTTATTCGACACAAATCTTGTAGAGTCCGAGGTTGTCCTGAAAGAAGAATAGAAACAATGACTACACATGACTATCATTGACTCCCAGTAACATGACAGAAACAGAGCAAGAAATATCAACTCTGAGCAAAATTATTAGCAACAGTAGATGTCTCGTTATTTAACAATTAATACAGTGACAGTGCTCACATGCTCCCATTAGTGCAACACTTCAAGTTTTAATTCTACTTTATCTCACAGCAGTGTTTGCATCCTACTGCATTCCAAGCATAAAATAAAAACAATAAAATTGAGAGGAAAGTTAGATAATCAATCAGGGTGAAGGTGCACATAACATAATATTAATAATATTATCAAATATTCTTTTTCTGGAAATCACTACCCTCTGCAAACAAAACCCTCTCACACGGTCAAAACAGCCGACAGAGTCAAACAAAGGGTTAGAATAGGGAAGAAAGGTCATTCAAATAACTGGATATGGCATGGTTGTTCATCTGCCACACAACCATCTCTCAGGTTTACAGAGAATGGCCCAAAAAAAGAGAAGCTAGCAGTTCTCAGTGTGAAAATACCTTGTTGGTGTTGGATAGGGCTGTGCGATATGACCAAAACCTCATGTCCCGATTTAAGACATCTATCGCCCGATAACGATATAAATCACAAACATTTAACATTTTCTGTAAATTCTGTGAATCTCGGGCAGCTCGACTTGCATGAAGTGTTTCCAGCTGGGCGTCGTGTAGCTGGAGTCGAGTGTTTTAACCGATGCATGAAACGACACATTTTTAGACATAAGTTGTAACGGCGCCGTTTTCTTTGTGAGTATTTATTACACGGCGTGCTGCGGGGGAAAGCCTGTTCTAACGTTTGAGTCTAAGGTTTATTTTTTTTAGCACCTGACGGCTCTTTTTTACTTCTCATTTGTAAACTCTGCATACTCATTCACATGATTCAGTTTATTTTGAAAAGTCTCAACGGGCTCTTAAGCTTTATTGTGAAAGGTTTACGTGGAAAACAAACCAGCGGACAGTGGAGCCACGTGATGGTTTTTACCATAATTGTTGCTAACGACAGCATGTAAAAACATGTCTGTCAGTAGTGTGGTGATATTAAATATAAGAGAAAGAGAGAACTTTAAGGAATGAATACAGCCACTACAGCGACATCAGAACCATGAAAAAATATTGCCGTAAACAGTTTATTTTGCGACACCACAAAACAAACGATAGCTTAAAATGAAACGACAGACGTTTTTATATCGTTATATCGAACAGCCCTAGTGTTGGATGTTTTTAAATATTAAATAACCTCAAATTGGTTCTTTCACCAAGTCCAACAGCCCTCTGTGGTGTGGTGGAATAGAAGGATTTGCAGAGGACAAGTCTGCAGAAACTGTGTAATGCTATTGTGTCAGTATGGTGAAACAATGACTGAGGAATGTTTTGGGAACCTTGCTGAATCTAAAGGCAGTTCTGAATAAAAAAAACGTGGTCCAGACTTGACAATTACTGATTCCTGATCATGCTTCGGTAAGAAACTTAGCTATGTTTGTGGTATGATGTGCATGTAGCGTGCTGTTATGTTGTAAATTGTCTGGATACGCTTGGGAAGAAAAACATTTTTATTGCATAAAATGGCACTGATCACATCAGCTGATGGGGAAACATTGTTGGTTTTCCTGGAAAAGTACCATAAAATTATGCACTACCCACTTAAAATTCATGAAACTGTTCTGAATATCACTTATTTGTTACTTAAAATTATTTAAGTACAATTTGTGTCTCCTTTCCTGTAACCCCCACCCCCTTGTACGTATGTAAAAAGGGAAAGGCAGAGACTGTACAAAGTTGCTGAAATATACTGACCCCAAACACACAACTCCAGAGCCCAGAATGATCTCAAGACTAGAGCACAACCATAAAAAGGAGATAAATCAGAGATTAAATGCACGTGCCATGAGCCAGTTGATTACTGTATAGACAACACTGATGAGCCATTTTCACCACAGTACTATAGTCATTTTGGGCCTTCAGAAGAAAAACCCAGAGTAACAAAATCTGCATATCTAGTCGTGTAAAACATGCTGACATGTTTTGTACGCTGTCGAGTCGGTTTTCAACCTTACCTTTTTTTTCCTTTAAGAAAAACAAACAAACAACCCAAAACTCTGGCAGTTCACCACTTCCTTTTGTTCCATTGCAAGCTATTCATTGGACCTGGATGAGTTGAATTGCAATAACTGGAAAAATTGGGGTGTTCTAAAACTTTTGACTGGTAGTCTAAGTTTGCATAGCTAACTTCAGGATGGTGCTGCATGAGATAACCCATTGTTTTATTTAATGATATAAAGAAATAATTTGGTATCCCAAATATTGATACTGAATGCTATATCTATATTTGCTGCACAAAATGAAACAGGCAGAATATTGCAATACTATGTTGTAGCAATTTTCTTTCCTTCACCCCTAATTTTCTTTCATAGTTAAGAATATTTACTTTTTCCTCCTTTATGCAACAAACACAACATTGGCATATTCTTCACAATGCCACCGGACTTATATGACAAAGAGTGTGTTACTCACTTGTGACCTTCTGCAGGAAATCCAGACAAGGCCGGCTAATCCCTGACATGCTGACAGACACAGCCACCGGAGTCTGGCCCTCGTAATTCCTAGTATTGGTATCTGCTCCATACGTGTAGAGCATCTGGGCACACAACACATCATCCCTTAGAGCTGACAAATGTAAGGGAGTTTGGCCATCTTCAAGGCGTCCAAGATTAGTGTCCGCTCCCCTCTGCAGGAACATGCGGCAGTATGAGTGATTGCCTTTGATGACAGCATAGCGTAGCAAGAAGCCATTTTGAATGTCAATGTTGGCGCTGTGGTCAAGGAGGATCCGTACACAGCTGGAGCGCTCGCGGATTATGGCAAGCTGTAGTGGCGTGGTTCCTTTGTCGCTCAGAGGGTCTACCTCGGCCTTGAACTCGAGCAGCAGCCGCACGAATGAGTCTCGACCATAGTGGGCGGCCACATGCAGCGGCGTCCAGCCATCGTTACTTTTGGCATTTATAATGTCACTTCGAAACTCTGACTCCAGCATCAGTCGGGCAATGCGTGCTCTGCCATGCATTGCTGCATAGTGAAGTGCGGTGAAGCCACCAATAAAGTCCTTCACTGTGGGGTCAGCTGTACAGACGAGTGAAAAGAAAAGAGTTAAATGCAGCATATTATAGGATTTATGATAAGCCAAGATTGTACAGTCCAAGAATAATCTGCTAGAAAGAATTTTTCATCAATTCGTATTTACAGTGCATTCCTGCTAGACTGTTATACTTTAAGTGGACATGAAACACGAAGCCCTGCTCTCAAAAACTGACAGATTTAACAGTCTGTGAAGTTGCATTTAGAAAATAAGTGTTCAAAGTTAAAGTTTTGAGAACATGTTTAGTACGTGACATTACAGGGTTGGTTGGGTTGCAGCTAATAGGTTTACATTAGTGTATGTTAGCTAACTAGTAGCTGAACCAATACCTCACTGCCCAAAAAGCTGATTCTGTCATAGCGCGGTGGTGGCAATGGGAAATCTTTCAAAGATAATGGCAGATGGCTTAAGTGGAGTGGCCAAACAGTCAACTTTTAAAAGTAGCAACAGGGTTTTACCTGACTTATTCATGTAGCAATTTAAATGTTTAGTTATGGGCAAACTGAAGCTTCGTAAAACACTGAAACATTTGAAGCATTTGTGCTGGAATTGTACTGGTTTTGAAACAATATCAAACCCATCTCCACAGTGACCCCTGCTGGCCAATTTGGATATTGCCACATCTTAAACAATATTCAGTCAAACAGTAATGCAGACAAGCCCAGCACAATTCCTAACAAGGTTTTATTTTTAATTAATTTAAAAATATATAATTAAATGAAGAAAATAAATGTTTTCCTTCTTTATAAAAAGGTAAGATTTATTTTCACAGGCTAATTCTGACCAATTATAACAGTCCATTTTATGCACGAGTTAGGACAGAGTGAGGAACCAACTGCTGCAGATCATGTGTGATGTCTTTGAGGGAGAACTGGTGAGATTGTTCTCTCCACCCCTGATGATACACCAGGACAAATTCAGCAGTGTAAGAGGAAAAAGAGCTCGCCGGTGCCAGATGAGAGATGGAGAGGAGAACAGGAGAGAATATAAAGGCTGTTCTCTCTTTGTAAAGAACCGCTAGAAAGGTTTAACCCTTTAACCCTAACAGGTTAGGGCTACACTGGTGGCAACGTTTCTTTAAACTACTGCAACTCTTGAATGATGTGGGCAATGTGAAAAATGGCAACTGCTCTTGAAAGCAGCAACTCTGCGCTTTTCAGTGATATTAAGAGTCATTACATTAATCCGAAGCACTGCATCACAGCAGCCCCAGGAATGCAAAGGTTGAGAGAGTGAGCGTGTGCAATGGGGTTGTGCAGAAAACTGACGTTTTGTTGGACACTTTTCTAATTATTTTATTAGTGTGGTGGGTTTCTTTTTCAGCATTTTCTGCCATGTTTTTTCCAATTGTTTTATTTTTTAAGTTCTATATATGACCTATCACCCATTACAAAATATACACTGCCCAGCCAACTTCTAACATTTGAAAAAAGCATGGTTGCTAGGCAACCCAACCCATTTAACAGCCTTGCACTTCTGGCCTTTAAAGCACCTGGCCTATGCAGACCAGGTAGTTTTTTGAAGGATGCGGGGCCTGAATTGGGGCACACCTTGACTCTGTGTATGAGACTCACTGCTGCTATGTTATCTTAAATCAGTCATCTGATTTGGATGCGCTAGCCCGTCATCTCCAGAGTGTATGTCCATGGTTTTTCTGATTCTAACAGAAGATGCACGATAATAATCATATTTTGGGGTGACAAAATGGTATCTGGATGAATCTTAAGTCATATGGTAAATGGCCTGTATTTATATAGCGCTTTTACTAGTCCCTAAGGACCCCAAAGCGCTTTACACATCCAGTCATCCACCCATTCACACACACATTCACACACTAGTGATGGCAGCTACATTGTAGCCACAGCCACCCTGGGGCGCACTGACAGAGGCGAGGCTGCCGGACACTGGCGCCACCGGGCCCTCTGACCACCACCAGTAGGCAACGGGTAAGTGTCTTGCCCAAGGACACAACGACCGAGACTGTCCAAGCCGGGGCTCGAACCGGCAACCTTCCGATTACAAGGCGAACTCCCAACTCTTGAGCCACGATCGCCCCGATATGAATAATATCCCAAACGTGGATTCTGTTCATCTGGACATAGCTTTTCAGTGGGAGGTAACAAGCATAATCAGTGGTGCTCGAGTCAGTAATTATGCAAATGTTCTGTTTATGTTTAAGGAGCTGGGAAACCTGCAGTCAGCTGACACTGAAGAAGTCATGGGGTGAGTGAAAAAACTTTTCTCCCATTGAGAACGATAAGTCCAGATGAAAAGAATGAACTTTTGGGATTTGGGACACTTAAACATTTTTTAAGTGTTTATGGGATATTTATCTGAATGCTATAGAAGTGACTTCTTTTCAAATTTCATCTAACATAGCTGAATAAATGCCCACTTTTTAGAAACACAATGCCCTGTAGCATTAACAGCAAAAACATTTTCAGGTCGTGGGGTTGGGGGTCTGACCTCCATGCTCCAGGAAAACTCGAACACATCTCTCTTTTCCCTTGGCTGCTGAGAAGTGAAGCAGTGTCCAGCCATTGGCATCGCGGATCTTTGGCGAGTATCCTTGCTCCAGCATTCTCCTAACAGTGTATACATCCCCTGCTGCCACTGCAGCCTGGATCTGCAGCTCTTCATGAAGCTCAGGGTTCCTTCTGCAGTGGTGGTTCAACATCCTGTCACATTTCGGAATGGTAATTTTCATCTGTACCTAAGCTCTGTTTAAAATAAAAAATAAAAATCAGTAAATATATTCAGATTCAGATGGTACATTAAGCATGACTGAAATTAAGTTCAGACTTATGGCCGTGGCTTTTAATCTGAAAAGACAACACTAAAATTGAAAAAGTAGTAACGCATAACTTTATGATAGAAGTGGCCTAAGAGCCTGTGTCAGTTTAAGTGTTGTTTTCAATAAATTGCATGATCAAAATTTTTTTGGCCTCACTCCCATTTCTTCTTGTTGCATGCTGAAGCTCAACTTGGAACCCTGTTAATATCCAACCATGAAAAATATGATTTTTTGCCATTTTTCAAGTATGTGAATGAAGTCTGCCTACCGCCTCAGTGCAACAAAGATCTACAATTTAAGCAGTTCATTGTAGATCTGACAGACTTGAATGGACATAAATGGCTGACAAAACACACAAATCAAGCACACACAGGTGGTGCATTAAAAAAATCTCTTCAAATCAAAATCAAAATGTTAAGTCATTTTAAGCATAAGAATAGGAATCAAAATAATACTGAAATGGTGTACTAATGATGTTCAGGAGCTTTTAAGGGTTAACATTAATAATGAGCTTCCTCAAATATTGAGGAAGCTCATTATTGAGGAAGCTCATTATTTGATCGAGGGCTGAGTGATGAGGAAAATCTAATATCTATATCTCATGATATGTTTAAATAACCTCCAGAATCAAATGTTTTTTTCAACCACATGAGTGCGGAAGGAAAAACTCTTTTTTAACAGCAAGAACCCTCCGGCAGAACCAGGCTCTGGGAGGGGCGGGGCATCTGCCGTAACCGGTTAGGGAGATAGAAGGAAGACAGGATAAAAGACATGCTGTGGAAGAGATTAATAACAAGTATGACTCAAAGCAGAGAGGTCTATTAACACATGAAGAAGAAATACTCAAAGCATCATGGGATTTGTTAAGTGTGGATAGTTAAATGCAATAGCAAGTTGTGCCTTGTTCTCAGAAGGACAGCAAGTGGACAGGGATAGGTGAGATGAGGCAATGCAAGGAGGAAGAGAGGCAAAGAGTGATTCAGAGGCAGAGCCTGGTTTATTTCCCACAGCTTGTGTAATCTGTTGCCTTATGGTTCCAAGCGCTGTCACCAATCTTTGCATTTCATTATTATCTCACAACACTTGTTTAATCAGCTACCAGCTCTCCTACAGACTTTTTAAATGTCTACAGTAGGGCTGGGCCATATTATACCGTTCACGGTAATACCGGTATAATGTTAGGCAACGATAGGAAAATGAAATATCGCGATAGA